CAAACCCCCCCCCCCCCACCACCCCCATTTTCTGCAACTGAATAAAAAAAGTAATTGCAAATGTTTTTATCTCACAGTTCTGACAGATGTGCACTTGTGCAATTCTTGCAATTCTGACCTTTTTTCCCTCAGAACTGCAAAAAAATTTGCAGTTGTGAGATATGAACTCAAAATTGCAATAAAGAAGTCCAAATTATGAGATAAAAGTTGCAATTACAAAATTATGAGATACAAGTTGCAATTACAAACATGACATACAGGTAAACTAGTACATATTTTTTTTGCACCCAAGACAGATATGAATATTATTAAAAGCCATAAATAGCACTAAAGTCAAAAATAGCACAAAAGAGTGAATTTTCCTGTCTCTTATGTTTTATTCTTCAGGCAGAGCGAGGTTTCTTCTCGGTGCATGTGGAAGGGGTGGAGTTTAAGCACATGGGGCAGCAGTCTGTGGGTCACTACCCAGTCCACTTCCATATGAACGGGGATGTGGATGAGAAAGGAGGCTACGACCCGCCAACTTATGTGAAAGACCTGTCCATTCATCACACCTTCTCCCGATGCGTCACCGTCCATGGCACCAACGGGCTGCTGGTGAGTTTCAGACACAGAGGTTATGTGTGCATGAAGGCAGCCATAATGAGTCTCTGCTGCAACATTCATAGAATGGAATCTTTAGTGCTTTATTTTGATAGAATGGAATCTTTTGTTTATCATTCCCTCAGTCTTCACACAGCATTGGCATAGAACTACTGGGACACAATATTTACTCAAAATTCACTGAAACGGTAAAAAATATCTAAGCATCCATAAAACAACATAAAATTATTTGAGAAGCAAAATATATAAGATAAGACTTAATATAAGACTTTTCAGACAATGTATCCTGAACTAAGTTTTTCTCAACCCAGTGACAAATTGTTTTTCCTTTTACTTTAAGTATAAACTGTGCACACGATTTACTAATTCGTTCCCTCTATGTACTAAAATGTGCACACGATTACTATTTCATTCCCTTGATTTGCTAAATCGTGTGCACAATTTACTAATTTGTTTTCTTGTGCACGACTTAGCAAATCGAGGGAACGAATTAGTAAATCGTGCGCACGATTTAGCCTACTATTTATTTCCTGCATGCCATGTGCGGGGCTCTGTAATAAACTAATCTAGTGAGTTGGCAAACAATTTGCCAGTGAAGTATGAAAAATAAATCACATTAATGGTGCATACCTAAAAAAGTAGTTTAAGACAGGTTAAAAAAGTTAACAAGATGGATGGATGGATTAGTATAAATATCTAAACATCTTTAAAACGAGATAAATTTACATGAAAAGTAAATTTGAACATTTTTATTTTGTATGAATATCTTAAAATTCTTAAAACAAGATAAATGTACTTGAAGATTTTTTTTTTTTTACATTTCTTTAAATATCTAAAAATCCCTAAGACAAGATAAATTTACTCGAGAAGCTCATTTTAATTAAATGTATTTTATTTTGTATCAGTATCTAAAAATTCTTAAAACAAAATCAATTTACTTGAGAAACATTTTTATCTGTATAAATACGTAAAATACTTCAAACACGATACATTTTCTTGAGAAGAAAAAAATAACAAATTTTTAGAGAATGGATTTTGAATTAAGCTTTTTGTAACCCTTTTACGTAACAAAGACTGGTAGTTTAAGACAGGTTAGCAGAAAGCCTGAAAAGATGAAGTCTATAAAACCTCAATATGGCTGAATGCCTTCCTGCAGTAGCTGCTCCTCCATTCTTAGTGATCTCTAGCTGTCAATCATCTGTCTGATTTTGATTGACAGGCCACACCCCTTCACTCTTTGCAAGACTTAAATTGAAGCTTTAGGGATGGAAAACAGGCAAGTCAGGAAACTAAATCTTGTAGTCAACCTTATAATTGACTTTCTGTTTCACACTTACATGATATCCAGCTGTTTTGCTGATAGTGGTGCCATCTAGTATTGTTTACATCATAGCAGAGCTGAAAAGATTACTTGGCTTCTTTTGACTCGATCTAGTTGAATGAAATATGGATTGTCAGAGCTCAACAGAACAGGAATGTGAATCTGCAATTTATTGTGTCGCAGTCCGTCCTTGGTTTTTCTAAAGCGCGGAGCTGCTGTTCAAACACTTTTCAAAGATGTTGGAGCGCTGCTGTAAGCTGCTTTATTTTCTTCACAGGAGACGAGGTGAACGGTTACGGCACACTGAAGCCGCATTATTTGTTCTTGATAGCATGCTACGATTTTATTTTGGAGCCGGCGGGGGGGGGATGCACCAACCTCAGAGCTCTGACGCGAATAACTCTTTGACGAGGGTCGCCTCTAATGCGTTTAACAAGGCTAAATGTTCTTCTGCCCAGCAGTAGTTGTATCACACACTGAGGTAGTTTACAATTCACCTATTTCTTTGACAGGATTAATGGAATTGCTTTCAGTCCCAAAAACCGTGTTTGTTTGCGAGCACTCACTGAGCAAATGATGTTTCCATCGGCATCGTATTTGATGGCAAAAAGTGCAGCATTTCAGCTTCACCTGAGGCTTTTAGAAATGTGCATTCACAGCAGGTGTTCGAAAATAGAAGATAGCTGACATATTTTATGGAAACATCTTGTAGTGGTTTTTATGTTGAGTTGTTGGTTACCATGAGCATTACATGAAGGAATAGAAATTATGAGGATTTTGACATGGTTTACTCACCTTCATGTTCTTCCAAACCTGTGGGTTTCTTTCATTATGTTTAATGGATGTCCATACTTTGTGGATGGGGATTTAAACTATCAAGCTTCAAAATACAGCCTTAAATTTGTCAATATGACTCTCCATGCTCCATTTGCTCCATATTTAAATTTTTTTAAAGCCATTTTTCAGGAGAAATATTCACAGGCGAAAACCCCTCTACTTCTATTTTTGATTCTGATACATTTCTTCTGTTACATGCAAAAGAAGATGTTGGATGGATATCAAAACTTTGTGAATGGGGATTTAAACTATCAAGCTTCACAAAGCAGCATAAAATTGATCAATAAAGCCCGTCTGCTATATTTTAAGCCGTTTTAAATGAAAATATTCACAGATGAAGACTCTCTTTTTCCATTTTTGATTCCGATTGATTTTGAACAGTAAATGATAAGTCCTTGGGTATTCTCTTAGTTAGGTTTCACTTTTCTTTATGTGAAGTTTTCATTATTTGCCCTCATTGCAGTTGCTAAAAACCTCGTCTTCTATCTTCTAATGTTGTTAATTTCCCATTAGGTGAAGGATGTTGTTGGCTATGATGCTTTAGGACACTGTTTCTTCACTGAGGATGGACCGGAGGAGAGGAACACGTTTGACCATTGTCTGGGTCTGCTGGTGAAGGCGAGCACACTGCTGCCCTCCGACCGAGATAGCAAGATGTGCCGGGACATAACCAACGGAGCTTATCCTGGATACGTGGCCAAACCGCGCCAGGACTGCAGGTAAAACTCACTGAATGAATGGTGTGGATGATTTTACTTCAAGAAACCAAGAATATGTCACCCTAAAATTGAAAGAATATTTGTCAAAGTAATTGCAATATGGCTGTCATGCAGCATTGTACTATCTACATTCTGTTGACTCATGCCTCTAACAAACCCTTTTTTAGTTGTTTTCTCACTCTGGCTGGTATTCTTTAATCAAGGCTTCCTCTTAAGAAAGCAACAACACAACATGCGGTCGCACTGATGATCGTTTCCGCCCGAGCTCATTATTCTGTAATGATTTTTATCCTAAGATGCACTCGCATTCTTAGAACCTCAGATAATCTTTGCTAATTAAAATAACAACATCCCCACATTAAGAAACCCTGCTAAACTCTGGCAGCGAAACTGTCTGGTTTGGGAAAACTGGGGTTTGGTGTTGACAGTAAATATGTTTAATTTGTACCGCAGAGTTGCCGAGAGCTGGGAGTTGCTTTGAAGTGCGGTTATGTGTGCGGCGTTAGGATGAGGTGAATACTTATGGAATTGAATCCTTCATTTTTAACGATGTCCAGTTACAGATCTTAAGAATGGCACCAACGCGACACAAACACGTAAACAGGCAACAGATGCTTTTTTTTCCCCACACGGATGTTTATCTTCATACAAACACCTTTTCAGTGCATTTAGACCGGTTCCGTGTAGCATGTGGAATGAACCGGCTTCCAAATCTTTAGGGCATCATATTGCATTAAATTGCTAATTGCTCTCATATATATTGCATGAACGGCGCACCTTTTAGATTGAAATTCGGTCGATAGAGAGGATAAAGCTAAGCAGCTCTTAAATTATAGAGGAAGACACTGCCAGAGATCCTGGAATATCACCACTTTAGTCATACGCAAAAAAGTCACGTATTAAAATATTGCAGTAAGATTTTAATTTATAATAATTAATTAATTTAATAATTATTAATGCATTTAGCAGACACTTTTATCCAAAGCGACTTACAGGGCATTCAGGCTATAAATGTTTTTACCAGTATGTAAATACTGATTTTGCATATCATTTCATATCACATCATACATACAGTGGTGTGAAAAAGTGTTGGCCCCCTTCCTGATTTCTTATTTTTTTGCATGGTTTTCACACTTTAATGTTTCAGATCATCTAACAAATTTAAATATTACACAAAGATAATGCAAGTAAATGCAAAATGCAGTTTTTAAATGATGATTTCATTTATTAAGGGAAAAAAGCTGTCCAAACCTACGTGAAAAATTAATTGCCCCTTCCTGTTAAATCATGAAAGAACTGCAATTAACCACATTATTTTAGAAAGCTGAGTTAAATTTCACTAGCCACACGCAGGCCTGATTACTGCCAGACCTGTTGAATCAAGAAATCACTTAAATAGAACCTGTCTGACAAAGTGAAGCATGCTTAAATAGCAACACATTATGCCGCGATCTAAAGAAATTCAAGAACTAGATAGATAGATAGATAGATAGATAGATAGATAGATAGATAGATAGATAGATAGATAAAGTGGCACAAGCAGAAAAGGACGAATCTCTCATGTGTTTTTTCCACATGTAGTTACAGTAGAGCCAATAATAATCTGGTTGTGATGAGGTTAATAATGGACATGTGCTAAATGTCAGCCGTGTTTGTTTATGTTTGTGGCGTCAGAATAATCTAATCAGTGTCCTTCTCTCTGTTTCTCAGCGCCACCTCCACCTTCTGGATGGCTAACCCCAATAACAATCTCATCAACTGTGCTGCGGCCGGATCCGAGGTTAGTCTCGTTACCACAGTGATGCCTCTGATTAATGGTGCCACGGTATCTCAGTGGCTCCTTTCCACCTACCATGCTTATTTGTGATGGATCATACAGCGGCATGTGTTGCTTAGCCGCGGATATTTGTATATACCGCTGTGAGCTCATTCTCAATGCGTTTTGTGTCATTAGGATGCCCATTAGCACTGTCTCCGTGCACATGTAATATCTGTGTGTGTGTGTGTGGTCTTGCAGGAAACAGGATTCTGGTTCATTTTCCACCATGTCCCCACCGGTCCATCAGAGGGCATGTATTCCCCCGGCAAGTCCGAACATACACCCATGGGGCAGTTCATTAATAACAGAGCTCATTCCAATTACAGGGTGAGTGTGTGTGTGTGTGTGTGTACCTGGTATTTATCACGTTATGGGGAAAAAATGTCCCCACAAGGATAGTAATACTAGTAAATTTTGACCTTGTGGGGACATTTTTGAGGTCCCCATGAGGAAACAAGCTTATAAATCATACAGAATGAGTTTTTTTGAGAAAGTAAAAAAGTTTCCTGTAAGGGGTAGGTTTAGGGGTAGGGTTGGTGTAGGGCAATAGCACATACAGTTTGTACAGTATAAAAACCATTACGCCTATGGAATGTCCCCATAAAACATGGAAACACAACGTGTGTGTGTGTGTGTGTGTGTGTGTGTGTCGTTGTGAATGAAAGTGGGCCACGGCACCGGAGATATATATATATATACACTCTTTTTATATACCATTAAAAGGCCGATGCTTGAGATTGATGAGCTTGTTGTTCAAAAAGAGGAAGCGGGCGAACGCTTTCTCTCGCCCTCCCACTGTAATCTATGGCATCATTCTCAGTGTGGCCACCATAATTGAAATATAACTCATTTTTAGCTGCTAGTACTTAGCCCTTTAATAAAACATGATTTAAGGGCTGGGGAATCCAGGGTTGGTGTGTTTGTGCTGAAATACAGTACCATCCACAGTACAGTGCAACTTATCTTTATGACACCAAGCTTTTACAGTGAGGAAAACTGAGATGCTTTTTGCATGCAAGCTGGTGTTTTCAAAAGTTTTGTTTAGAAAAAAAGATTGTTCAAAATCTGTAAGAATTTTTTGTTTTTGAAAAAGTCTCACCTGCTCACCAAAGCTGATCACAAATACAGTAAAATTGTGAAATAATATTACATTTTTAAATAACTTTTCTATTTGAATCAATTTTAAAATTTAATTTATTCCTGTGATGCAAAGCTGAATTTTCAGCATCATTACTCCAGTCTTCAGTGTCACATGATCCTTCAGAAATCATTCTAATATGCTGATTTGCTGCTCAAGAAATATTCATTTTCAATGTTGATTAAGCAGTTGTGCTGCTTAATATTTTTGTGGAAAATGTGATATATTTTTTTCGGGATTATCTAATGAACACGAAGTTCAAAACCGCAGCATTAACTTTAAGTATACTAATCTTTTGCAACATTATAAATATCCTTACTGTCACTTTTAAACAGCTACAGCTACATATGTTTAATTGTGATTGTATTTCTTGAAGCTTTCTTTTTCATTTTAAATGGTTCTACAGTGTGATAAATTAATTTATTCCCTTAATATATTCTCTTAATTAATATGAGCATATAAAATCTAAATAATACTTATAGAAGAGTAAGCAGAATGCTGTATATGTTAGTATTTTAATTGGGATGTAGCATGAGACTCATGTCATCTGCCCTGTTATGTTGAAATAAAGCACTGATGAACGAGGTCTAGTTTTTCAAGTTTTGATGTTTATGTTTTATGGTAGGCGGGGATGATCCTCGATCATGGAGTAAAGACGACTGAGGCTAATGCGAAGGACAAGAGACCCTACCTCTCCCTCATAGGAGCGAGGTTAGCATTTGCAGTTCCTGATCCTGCTCCGAAATGACAAAACTCACAGAAGTAGTGCATATGTGACCCTGAACCACAAAACCTTAATCTGTCTTAAGTGTAAATTTTTCAAAATGGATTTTTATACATCATCTGAAAGCTGAATAAATAAGCTTTCCATATTGTTAGGATAGGACAATATTTGGCTGAGATACAACTATTAGAATATCTGGAATCTGAGGGTGCAAAAAAATCTAAATATTGAGAAAATCGCCTTTAAAGTTGTCCAAATGTCTTCATTGAACATAATCTTTACTTAATGATTTTTGGCATAAAAGAAAAATCTATAATTTTGACCCATACAATGTATTTTTGGCTATTTGCTACTAATATACCACAGCGACTTAAAACTGCTTTTGTGCTCCAGGGTTACATATGACTTGTGCTATATACACTAGTCAACATTTGTTGCAAGTGGATCAAAACCTTTCGTCAAAGTTGTCCTAAAACCAAAACAATACCCGTTCCACTTCAAACGTTGACTACTATAATTGAAGTCTTCTGAAGACAATATACTACAACTTTGGCAACCACAAAGATCATGCTGCTAGTTAACCAGCAGCACACCAGCTTAGTTAATAACATCACTGTGCTGGACCATTCTGGTCTTTTCAGCAGGAACAATAAACTACACAATTTATCCAATTAATTTGCATTCATCCTGTGCCTTTCTTTGGCAGGTACGGCCCACACCAGGATGCAGACCCCTTCAAACCACGAGTCCCTGCTCTAGTTCACCATTTTGTGGCCTACAAGAACCAGGACCATGGTGCATGGCTGAGAGGAGGAGACGTTTGGCTGGACGATTGCCAGTAAGCTATTTTATTTTATTTTATTTTATTTGATTTTATTTGATTTGATTTGATTTGATTTGATTTGATTTGATTTGATTTTATTTTATTTGATTTTATTTGATTTTATTTGATTTTATTTGATTTTATTTGATTTTATTTGATTTTTGATTTTTGATTTTTGATTTTTGATTTATTTTTTATTATTTTATTTTATTTTATTTTATTTTATTTGGGACATTTATTCTTAAATTTTCCACTGGTATTTATGCCATTGTGTGACATTTATTTTATTTTTATCCAGATAAAAGTTTACTATCTTGTTTAACATTTGTTTTTGTATGATTAATCTGAATTATCACTGTAGCTCAACATGTATAAAATATCACTTACAAAATGCAACGTCCACTGAAGGGCTTCATTAAAATTGATGATTTAAATGCACTGCATTTTTTTTATAAAAGTTATATGCTTGAGAAGGTTTTAACAGAGCTTCAGTGAAATAGCTACAGTTGGCAAATAAATTCTCATTCTGTTGTGCGTCTCTGGCACAGATTTATGACTTCAGTCATGCATGTGAGTCAGTTATGATTGTCTGCGCTCTAGAATCTGATGAGCGTTATTGGGGTGTGCATGGCATGCGGTCAGCATTGACATGTTCCTTCATCTTAATTGCACGCAGGTTCGCTGATAATGGAATCGGCCTGACTCTCGCCAGGTAAACCCGCTAATCACCATTTTCCCTTTATTCTATTATTTTCTTTGCACACATTTCAGCAGTCTAAAAATGAAATGTGTTCATATTTGCTGAATTCATTATAGCGCAGGGCGTAGTGCCTGTAATTGGAAAATGCCTTATATGGGCGGCTTCTTAAGATGCAGGGAAGGAGTCAGGGCTTTTGTGGGAATGTGAAAGTAATTTATTGGTGAGAACGCAGCAGAGATGTGGTGTATATTCTCAAAAGGTGTGGATTCGCACGCTGGATTTCTCACTTTGTGCTTCTTTGTTCGTGCGCAGTGGAGGAACCTTCCCGGATGATGACGGCTCACGTCAGGAGGTGAAGAACTCTCTGTTTGTGGGAGAGAGCGGGAACAGAGGGATGCCCGACTTGAATGATCAATCCTGGGGTCCGGGCGGCCCCGATCATCTCGGCAGGTCTCTGCCCAGAGGAGTGTGAGTGTCATGAGCATCAGTTTACCATTTATCTTGTTTTTGCACTTGAAAACACTATTTAAAGTGTTGTGAATGGTGTGGAAGTGTGCACCAAGTTTTCCAGGGAGACATTTGTTCGTTTCTGTGGCCTTGCAAAGAGAAAAAATCACTCCGACCTTGGTTTTGACTTTGACCTATTAATGCCCACATTTTTCCCAGAAACGTCTTAAAGGTGCTGTAAGCCATTTATTTGTGGAATGGCACTCCGAAAATATGCCCATTTTCTGACAGATATCACTGAATTAGCTGTCCTGAGATATCACAGCTGTCCTAGAGCTGGTGAACTGAAAGAACTGTTTTTAAAACACTGAAAGAAATCATTACAAATGACAAAACAGTGATAGAGCCTTCAGCTACTTGTTGCCTGTAGGCTTAAGTGGATTGTCAGTATGAATCTGCATTTGCAACCAATTTACTTCTGTTAATATATGCACATATATGGCATTTATATGCGACAAGATAATCAAAGTTTAAAAATGTTGGGTAGGACTTGATTTTATCCATCAGGAATCGATTGGATCAAGAGATTGTAATGTCAGTCAAAAAGGAATAAAGTGCTTTTTTCCCCCCGCTGAAATAAGACCATGCATATTTATTAAAGGAATAGTTCACCTAAAAATGTATATGAAATCCTGAAAGTTTCTTCACTGTCAATCCATCCAAGATGTAGACGCGTTTGTTTATTCACCAGAACAGATTTGAAGAAATTTATAATTGCATCACTTGCTCACCAGTGGATCATCTGCAGTGAATGGGTGCCGTCAGAATGAGAGTCTAAACAACTGATAAAAACATCATAATAATCCACAAGCAACCCACACCACTCCAGTCCATCAGTTAACATCCTGTGAAGCAAAAAACTGTGCGCCTGTAAGAAAAATTATTAAAATGTTTTGCACTTTAATGGCTAAAATACAAGTCTTCTATCCATAATATTGCTTTTTCCAGTGAAAAAGTCATCTCATCTGAATCAGGAGAGAAATATGCACAGATCAAGCACTGTTTACGAGCGAAAACAGTCCGAAGCAGTTCATTAACAAATATGTCATTGGATTGTGATGTGAGAGGACAACAGGAGATGGACTTGGAGGAAGCATTATTATGGACTCATGTTTTAAACAGAAGCAATGGTTTGAAGTTAAAAAGCATTAATGGTGGATTTGGTTCTTACAAGCATTGTTTTTCACTTCTCAAGATGTCAGTTGATGGACTGGAGTGGCGTGGATTGCTTGTGGATTATTGTGATGTTTTTATCAGCTGTTTGGACTCTCATTCTGACGGCACCCATTCACTGCAGAGGATCCATTGGTGAGCAAGTGATGTAATGCTACATTTCTCCAAATCTGTTCTGATGACCAAACAAATTCATCTACATTTTGGATGGGCTGAGGGTGAGTAAATGTTAATTTTTGAGTGAACTATTCCTTTAAGAAAGTCAATTTTGACTTCATGTTGACTGAAGGTGAAGTGTGTAGTTTCTGTAACACCTGCACTCAACTAAATAGCGAAAATAAATGTAGCTGCAAGCCACAATTAGTGGAATCCAGCCGGTAGAGGAAACTGCTGCAAAGATGAAATATGCTTAGTGAGTATTGTGTTTACAATTGAGAAGAAATCAATCCAAAGTTTCAGCTTTTACTTTGTTTTCTGACATCTCAGAGCAATTTATCTCTAGACTCCTTTATACCTGACAGGGCTCGAGGATTTAATGTGCTTGACTTTCATCTGTAATGTTGCAGCTCAGCACCTGTCACTTTATATTCTTCTGCTCCTATAGAAAATGCTGGATTTTGCATGGATGTGTACGAAAATTGAATGATAAAACACTTTTACCACCATCTTTATTGCACCCATGAGAGTCAAATTGAAAAAATCTCTCCCCTTTTCTCTTAAAAGTGTCAGCTGCCTTCTTTAAACTTCAGGCATTATTCTTTTAGATTGTGGAAAAGAGCTTTAATTTGACAGTTCAACTGTCACTGTCATTTGAATTGTTCTGTTAAAAGAACAGTTGTTTGTAAAAAGAATAAGCCACATTTTAAAGGTGAAGTGGCAGCAATCAGGATTGCAAAGACAATTGATTCAAACAAAATTGCAAATTTGTGCTAGTTGTGATTTATAAATTCACTACCTTTAACATTATTGTCAGATGCATTGACAATCTTTCACTGTAATGTCTACACTCAGAAAAATCACAATTATGCAAACTTATACTGGCTATCCAAAGATGCCATATAAAAAAAGGTCCATCTGATAAGCAGTTGATGAGAAGAAAAATAATGATAAAACAACTTACAGGGTGAAACTTATGGGTCCTTTGGGAAAATATATTACTCATGAGAAGGGCTGTGAAATTTTAAGCTCAGGCAGGGCAGTGGATGTTTGAAATATTGAAAATTTAACAGCTAGTTGCTAGGCAACCATACATCCCAAAATGAACGAAAATGCAATTAACCCCAGACCTTTCATGCATGCCAAGTTTGGCGAATTTCCACCACTGGGACAGAAAGTTATAGCTGTTCAAAATGAGGAAGAAAATAAGAAGAAGAGCAGTACGCTTTATTCCTTATGGCTCTTTCCAAACCCACAGAGGTCATACGTTAGTCTTTTTTAAATAAAGATAATAATTATAATTATAATAAAAGTAAAAAGTTATCTCAATCATGTCAAGGTTTTCTTCCCAAGACAAGGCAAAAAGTAATAATGTATGAATGCTTAGGCCATTATTTTGTTATTCAATTTGGGGTTATTGTCGTTAACTAAAGCTATTAAAAACATTTTGTTCATTGAAATAAAGCTGAAATATAAATATAAATATTACATGAAAAACAAAAAAATTAGAAAGTTTTTTTTCTCAAGGCAAGGCAAAAAAATTATTTTTTATGAATGCTTATAAGTCAATATTTTTGCTATTCAATTCAGTGTTATTGTCATTAAAGCAAAACTATTAAATGTTTTTTATATACTGTTTTTTTTTTTAATTGAGATAAAGCTGAAAAAAAATCTAATATAAATATTATATGAAAAACTAAACAACAATTATAACGTTTGCATTGGAAACTCAATACAATAAGTTTAGGTTGAATCACTAAAATTACTATCTAGAGATAAAAATAAACTACAACTTAACGCAAACAAAAACTAAAATAAAAATAAAAGAATGATTTTATTTAAAATAAATAAATTACAAAAGTATATAATAAAATGACTAAAATTATTAGAGGCTAATTCACACGTTAACATAATAAACTCTAGCATATACATAATAATAAAATGACCTTTTTTCATTTAGTGCATCTAGTTTCTAATTTTTTTTGTAATTTTTTCATATTTTAAACTCTCCACTGTTCATTGCATTACATGAACAACTGTCCCATAATTATTTGATGAGTGTAAACCAGTTCACGGATGTCACTGAAGTTAAAATGCATTAATGACATTCCAAGTACCTGTACTACGCTGTACCTGTGCAAATGGCAATAAATTCAAATTCAAATTCAATTCATTGCCGTCTGCCCTGCAGGGACTTCCCCATTCGTGGAATGCAAATCTACGACGGGCCGATCAACATCCAGAACTGCACTTTCCGCAAATTCATCGCTCTCGACGGGCGACACACCAGTGCTTTTGGCTTCCGCCTGAACAACTCGTGGCAGAGCTGCCCGAACAACAACGTCACCGACATCACCTTCGATGACGTGCCGGTAAGCGCCGGCCCTCGAGCGATGTCCACTATCATCCAGACCTCTATGCTCCTGTGTCAGCGCTCTTTGTGCTGCTTAATAACAGTGAATGGGGTCACTGTCTCTGAGCTATTCCAGGAACTCTGATTGATTTTGTGCAGGATGTCAAAGAGGATTATAACATTTTAGAGCGTCTTCTCGCTGACAGAGGTCATCCTTCCTCTGGTTATAATCATCTCTCTCCCACCCTCCTGTCACTTCCAATAGTCAGATATGAGGCTTCATTGGCTGCAAAGTCTAGAGCAGAAATCTTATTAGGATTGTGTGGCAGTCCATAATGTGCGACAGACAGTAGAGATATTGTGAGCATTGTTTATGAAGTACAGGTATATATACTTGCAATAAGTAGACAGCATTGCTTTATGATATTTCCACGTGAAAACAACAAAGAAACATGAATACATGCATCCCACACAAGTCAAGGCATAAAAGAACTAATATAAATGTAACAAATTGGAATTTTTGGTTTATGGTTGCTGAGCAGCATTGCATCTTGCCACAGTAATATAGAATTTAACAAAAGTGAACACACAGGTGTGAGAATTAGTAACAGTTTTAAACATGGCTCATCCAATCAGAATTTAGAGTCATAAATATTAATATTAAATATTAGTTTAATTTGACATTTTTTTAATTGTGTTTAATTAACCAGAATATCCAAATATGCAAATGGCTATTTAATATACACTACTGTTAAGAAGTTAATTTTTTTTACAATTTTTTAAAGAAATTAATATTTTAATCAACTGAATTAAACTGATCAAAAGTGACATTTATGTTTTAAAAGATTTCTATATTAAATAAATACTGAAAAATCTTTTGGTTCATCAAATAATTCTGACAAAATGTTTTATTTTATTTATTTATTTATTGTTTTGTTTTGAACATCGATAATAATGAGAAATGTTTCTTAAGCAGCAAATCAGCATATCAGAATGATTTCTGAAGCATTATGTGACACTGAAGACTGGAGTAATGATGCTGGAAATTCAGCTTTGCATCACAGGAATAAATTACATTTTAAAATACAGTATATTACAACACAATTCAGTCTTTTTAAATTTTAATAATATTTCACAATTTGTTACTGTATTTTTGATTAAATAAATGCAGCCTTGGTGAGCATAAGATACTTTCAAAAACATTAACAAAATCTTACTGACCCAAACTTTTAAATGGTATAGCGGGTGTGAATATATAAATAGATCATGCAAAATATTCTCAATTAAGATGTTTAAATATAGGTTAAGATTTGGAACCAAATTTGGCTGCCCGAACAACAACGTCACCGACATCACCTTCGATGACGTGCCGGTAAGCGCCGGCCCTCGAGCGATGTCCACTATCATCCAGACCTCTATGCTCCTGTGTCAGCGCTCTTTGTGCTGCTTAATAACAGTGAATGGGGTCACTGTCTCTGAGCTATTCCAGGAACTCTGATTGATTTTGTGCAGGATGTCAAAGAGGATTATAACATTTTAGAGCGTCTTCTCGCTGACAGAGGTCATCCTTCCTCTGGTTATAATCATCTCTCTCCCACCCTCCTGTCACTTCCAATAGTCAGATATGAGGCTTCATTGGCTGCAAAGTCTAGAGCAGAAATCTTATTAGGATTGTGTGGCAGTCCATAATGTGCGACAGACAGTAGAGATATTGTGAGCATTGTTTATGAAGTACAGGTATATATACTTGCAATAAGTAGACAGCATTGCTTTATGATATTTCCACGTGAAAACAACAAAGAAACATGAATACATGCATCCCACACAAGTCAAGGCATAAAAGAACTAATATAAATGTAACAAATTAGAATTTTTCTGTTTATGGTTGCCGAGCAACATTGCAGCTTGCCACAGTAATATAGAATTTAACAAAAGTGAACACACAGGTGTGAGAATTAGTAACAGTTTTAAACATGGCTCATCCAATCAGAATTTAGAGTCAGAAATATAAATATTAAATATTAGTTTAATTTGACATTTTTTTAATTGTGTTTAATTAACCAGAATATCCAAATATGCAAATGGCTATTTAATATACACTACTGTTAAGAAGTTAATTTTTTTTACAATTTTTTAAAGAAATTAATATTTTAATCAACTGAATTAAACTGATCAAAAGTGACATTTATGTTTTAAAAGATTTCTATATTAAATAAATACTGAAAAATCTTTTGGTTCATCAAATAATTCTGACAAAATGTTTTATTTTATTTATTTATTTATTGTTTTGTTTTGAACATCGATAATAATGAGAAATGTTTCTTAAGCAGCAAATCAGCATATCAGAATGATTTCTGAAGCATTATGTGACACTGAAGACTGGAGTAATGATGCTGGAAATTCAGCTTTGCATCACAGGAATAAATTACATTTTAAAATACAGTATATTACAACACAATTCAGTCTTTTTAAATTTTAATAATATTTCACAATTTGTTACTGTATTTTTGATTAAATAAATGCAGCCTTGGTGAGCATAAGATACTTTCAAAAACATTAACAAAATCTTACTGACCCAAACTTTTAAATGGTATAGCGGGTGTGAATATATAAATAGATCATGCAAAATATTCTCAATTAAGATGTTTAAATATAGGTTAAGATTTGGAACCAAATTTGTTGGTCCAAATAAGAACAAAACTGTAGCAAAATCTGTTGGATTTAAAAATACAGAAAACACATCAAAAATAGTTTTCAGAGAACACAAACAAGCCATAAGTAATTTCCTGATTTCCCATGTTTGCCGTTCCCTTGTCTCTAATCGTGGCTCTAGATTACTTCACGCGTGTTCTTTGGTGCACCGGGCCCCTGGTTCAACAAGATGGAGATGGACGGCGACAAGACAACCATTTTCCACGACATCGACGGCTCGGTGAGCGAATACCCGGGTGCTTTCCTTGTCAAAGAGGACAACTGGCTCCTGAGACACCCCGACTGCATTGACATCCCCGACTGGAGAGCTGCCATCTGCAGCGGGCACTACGCCCAGGTGAGTCTGACCCGCACCCTCCTGTTACTCCCAAAACATTCCCATGTCTGGAGGCAGCGGCCTTCGTTCGGCACACAAGCATCTACACGCAAACAGCAGCACCTTGTTCAGTTCATTCCAAGAACTCGTGTTTACTTTTTCCGACAAAGCCAGACACCTTGTTAGTCTTCTTTGAAAATCGTTTTCCGAGAGAAAGACAATCAATCTGTCGAAGCTGTCAAACACTCACAGTTTCACTTGCACTTAAATACCATGCAAATGCAAATATTCTGCCCCCCACCTCCAGATTTACGTCCAGACCCGAAACCCAGCCAGCCTGAACATGAAGATGGTGAAGGATGAGTATCCAGACAAGCCTCTGGAGCTGGTTGGTGCTCTGGGAAAGAGGAACCACTACCAGCAATTCCAGCCTGTGGTCATGCTGGGTAAAGGATACACCATGCACTGGGACCAAGTGGCTCCTGCCGAGGTCACCATCTGGCTCATCAACTTCAACAGGTCAGCGAGAGATCCACTGCACTGACTGTGTAATGCAGTGAGCATGTGTTTTTGTAGGCCAACCCAGACATTCACATTACCCTGGTTCCCTCCACGAAAACTCATTGGCTTTTTGATTACTGCTGAAAATAAGGTCTGTGACTGACAAAAGTTTATGGTTCTTACAGGTTTTGGTTTCACCAGAAGTAAAAAGCTATAGGCTATAAACAAACTATATCATGGTTGCATGACTTCAACATTACCAGTACTAAGCTTCTGACAACTCATGCAATCTTTATAAAAAAAAAAGTTTGAGTTTGAGATATATAGTCCTTAAATATATTGGGCGTTCACCACACCACACCACCACACAGCCCTTCAAAAACACACTGACTTCAGGACGATTGAACTGGTAGTGCTAAAATGCATCTCGTTTCCGGGTTTTGGCCTACAAAAATACATAATTTCTGCATCACACTATAGTCTTGATAGTTTTTACTTCACTCAGGTTCAAGCTTTTTTTGTTGTCAAAACTGAAAAAAGGGATTAATGATTTAAAGGGATAGTTCACCCAAAAATTCTGTCATTAATTACTTACCCTCATGTCGTTCCAATCCCATAACCCTCCGTTCATCCTCGGAACACAAATTACGATATTTTTGATGAATTCTGAGAGCTCTCTGATCCTCCCATAGACAGCAAGGGAACTTCCACGATCAACGTCCATAAACATTATTGCAATAGTAATACATTTCTTTATTGATTTTTTCAAAATGCATAATTTTAATAATAAAATAAAAAATATTATTTTTAATCATAATAATTAGCAGTAGTAGTAATAGTAGTATTGTGCAGTCATACTGAATGTGAAAAAAAGGTTGTCCTTCTAATTTGTTCTGATTATGTATATGAGGCCTTCGGGTGTAGATGCAGCCTAATAGACCTATCGCTGTGTCATTAATTATAATCAAACCACAATATTAACAGCAAATCATGGAAATTACTCACTGCTCTTGGCTGGATAACTTAAGTAGCTGTAATGAGCTCACAAGGATCAAATGTGAACACTAATTTAGGCCAAAAAAACTGTACAGCTGTATTTAATAAAAAATCTGCTTGTCAGTAAAACTCCAACATAATCACTATTAATGTATCATATTATGACAGTAATTAATGTATATCATTCTGAATCTGATTGCTTCATTATTAGTTTCATTTCTGAATGTTTACTTGAATATTTTAAGCACTGTTTACTTCATTTGTCTCTTAGTGTTGTAATTAGACTGTTTATTTGTCTTGAATAATTACTTGTAAAACATAAGCCAATTTTTACTTAATTAAGAAACAGATAAGAGCTGCATGCTGTTGTTTCTTTAATTTTCTTTGTTGATATTTATATTAATATTTTACTTTTTAAACAAAGGATAATCCAGTGCTTCATGAAAAGCTGCCAGCATAAAAAAAGCATTACACATAATGCACACTTTTATGTCAATCCCAGATTAAAATAGCAACATTCATAACAAAGATTATCAATTATATTTAATAAAATGCACAGCATCTTGCTTTCTAACTTAGATCCTCTGAACCATGACTATTGCTCCCCCTAGTGACTGATGCCAATACTAATACGCAAGTCTGTCAGTCTCCAGTTAGCGGGCTTTACTCATACAGCAGTGTTGTTGCTTCTTTTCCAGAAAGGACTGGATAAACATGGGCATCTGCTACCCTAAAGGCACTGAATTCACCATAATCTCCGACATCCACAACCGCCTCACCAAAGAGACGAGGAAGACCGGGGTGTTCATGAGGACCACTCACAGAGAAAAGATGGGCCACTCTCACCAGATGAGAGGATATTACTACTGGGAGGAGGACACTGGGTAAGAGCAGATGTGTCTCTGCATGGACAGATAACAGCTAGATATCAAACCAAATAGAAATGGCTGATGATAAGAGTAGTTGAGAGAAGACAGGAACTGATGCAGAGAAGTGTGCGAACAGGATCAGGAAAAGACGACCCAGAGTCCGTGTTGGTGCATGTGTACTAAATACTACAGTAGTTCACCAAATGCAATGCTAATTGTTTAAATCGGTATACAAATAATCAATTTAGTTCAACCGTTTTAAACTCCTAGTGTCTCCCAGCTTGTATTAATATATTATAATATATTGAAATAATATAATCTTTTTTTTTTACTTTTAATATATAATTGCAATTCATATGAATATTTATATAAATATTTCATTTTAATTGGACTATATATATATATATTAAAATGAAATAAAGTCTAAGCTGAAAGCAGCAGCCATTACATTTATTAATAAAACAATTATTTTTTACATAATAAATGTCTTTTTGTCAGAATCACATGTCTGTGCTGAATAAAAGAGAATTCTTAAAATAAATAAAAAACATGGTTGAAATTTTGAGTCATGGTTACCACAAAAAATATTTTGCAATCACGAGAATAAATTACATTGTAAAATATATTAAAATAGAAAGCAGTTCTTTAATAATATTTCACAATATGTATATATTACTGTGTGTGTCCAGATGTGTGTATATATATATATATATATATATATATAGTTTTTGTAATTAGTCGTTTTTGTAATCTCTTGCACAAAAAACACTGAAATCAAATATGCAATCATTCAATAATAAAAAACAACTTTACCCCACACTTTATGGACATAATATTACATTTACATGTATGTGTTTTAATAGATGCTTTTATCAGTTTGAATGTTTTGCTCATGGGTGATATTTTGCTTGTTGAACTTTGGTGATCATTTTATTTGACCATAAAAAGAGTGTGAATGATTTTACTGTTGCCAAATGTCCCATTTATTTTTTAAAGGAATGGCCCATAAAAAAGTTATTAATTTTACTAATAAACGGGTGCATGTGTGAAAACTAATAAAGTTTTAAAATATAAACACACAGAACTGGTAAAACCCATGTTGAATGAAATATGTTTACAGCATTAAAGGAAATGGACGGTAAATATATTCAATTAAACACATGGTTTTTTTCTACCGCCTGGCCTAATGGAAAGTCATACTGAGCAAAGTAGCAGTTATTATAAGACATCTGTGTTTTGATAGAGGATGAAAAAATAGCTGTTCTTAATTTAGCTATGTCAGTTTTCCTTTGCTAATGAAACATAATTAAATTGTAGGAATGAGGAATATCACTCGATTGGAACTGCTGTGAAATTACCCAGGAGGCTGGATGCTAAACGCTGCAGTTTTGTCAATTATAAGTTTTGATGTGGTTTTTAAAGTGTCACAGCTTCCAAACTTGTCTCTGCCGTCCGTGTGCTGATCTCTGTGTTCCCTCTCAGTCGGTCCCTCTCGACGTCACGTCGGAGGACCGACGAATTGGGATCTCGCTTAGAGGGACCAATCTACTTCGAGTGTAAACTAAACGAGCCAATGCACATTGGCATGCGATTATTGCATCCAGCATGCCAATGTGCATTGGCTCGTTTAGTTTACACTCGAAGTAGATTGGGCCCTCTAAGCGAGATCCCAATTCGTCGGTCCTCCGACGTGACGTCTCCGTTCCCTCCTTCAGGGAACGAGGGTTACATACGTAACCGAGACGTTTCTCTCTCTCTGATGTCTGTCTGCTGTCTTCCCCGCAGGCTGCTCTTCCTTAAAATCAAAGCACACAATGAGAAGGAAGACTTGGCGTTCTGCTCGGTGAAGGGCTGTGAAAGAGTGAAGATCAAAGCGCTGATTCCCCCCGGCAGCGGCCCCAGTGACTGCATGGCTGAAGCCTACCCCAGATACACCGAGATGCCCGTCGTAGATGTGCCTATGCCCAAAAAACTGCCTCGCTCCAAACTGGTGAGGAGACACTTTTGACTTTACAGAGCATCTGTGTTTGAAGTCTAGCGTGATGCTGCGGGCCGGATGTGGGACGTTCCTGCAGGATTCCTGCGACTTGCCTGATGCTCTGAAGATGATGTATAAAGAAACATAATAGCAGTGCTTTTGTTAGTCTTGCAGGTGTTTGATTGTCTCCTGGCAATTGAATTGTGCAGGATAAATGATAATATGCAGCGTTAGCATTTGTTCGACAGGATAGTTAGTGTACTTTGCACACCTGTTTCTGTAAACTTTTGCTGGGAAGGGTCCTCTATCGTGATGGAGGAAACTGTTTTTGAATGTCAATACCCACATAAATATAAATATATATGAATTATAATATATACAGTATATATAAAATATTATATAATGATTTATATTATTGATATATATTTCTACATTTTATGTGTGTGTTAAAAAAATGAGTGGCTCAACCAATATGGGTATTATTATTATTATTATTATTATATAAAACAATGCATACAATACAATTTATATATTATACATTTACAATTTACATTTAATTACATTTTAATATATTTTTTAAATAAATTCTATATAAAATATATGTCAATCAACGTTAATTATGTATATATATATATATATATATATATATACACACACACACATATATATATATATA